TGATCAAAGAACTTTGCATTTAAGAGACCAAGTTCCCAGAAAGACATATTTTGTTCTATTGAACTATTCTAAACCACACCTTATAATAAAAACCCGTTTTGAGACGAAAATCTCTTGAGACTTAAACCTAAGAAGACAAAAATTAGTGTTTGAAAGTCCGGTTCGGTCCGGTTTTTTGATGCCCAGGGGCGTTAACCGTAACCGTAACCGGTCTGCCTTTTCCCCAGAAGTCAAAAGACCAGACCGGACCGCAAAAAGACCGCAGACCGCGGTTTTTTGCGGTCTATAGACCGGTTTCGGTCTGCATCGGTTTTAACCGGTTTATGACCGGTCTTTAGGCCAATATTTTAAAATTATGAATCGGTAAATTTATTAACATCTCTAATAGCTTCAAAACGAGCCCAAGAACGTTAAATTCCGTTAGGAATTGGTGCTTCTATAAAATAAGTCTGGTACATCTATTATTCCCAAAAGTAATTTACATTTTAATTCATATCTCTCTCGTTTTTTTACCAAATCGTACGTTCTTGGGTGCGTTTTAAAGGGTATTTAAGGGGCTACAAAAGACCGGTCCAAAACGGTCAAGACCGGTTCACGTTAACCGGTTTTTTTGCGGTCTTTACATTTCAAAAATAAAAGACCGTAACCGCAGGTCCAGTCTTTTGCGGTCTTGGTCCGGTCTGGTTACGGTCTTTTTCCAGTCACGAGACCGGACTTCCAAACACTAACAAAAATGGTATTTCTTAATACCAAAGGCCCTCGAACTCGTGCACTGAGATTGTGATAGTGTGTGTGAGTGTGTGTGAGTGAGTGTTTAGGTGTTTAGGGTTTTCCCAACGCGCTTGATCCTTGTTTGCGTGTTTCGGACTTTCATGGTCATCCCCGTGCAACGCGTATCAACGTTGCCATGGATTTCTGTGGATGCGACAACAGGATAAGCAATCGGCAGCAGCTCCTCCGAAGTGAGTGGTTCCCTGCAACTGTTCACCAACCTCAGACTTGTGCAACTTTTCGTCTACTCGAAACATTCCACATCATCACTTTGGCAGGCAGTTATCTGCTCACGAATACTACAAGGCCATGGAGTACCTGACTGACAATACGGAGTTGAACGTTCCAAAGGTAAGCGTTGTCGTTTCTGACCATTCGCCATTGCTCATATTTCCCTTTTTTTCCTAAGACGCGTTATAAATTGTTCATGCGAATGATTCGCATGTTTTGACATCTCAAATTGATGAAACGTGCAGGACGAGGCAACATTCAAGGAGGTCTCGTCGCCACTGGGGCCAGAGACCTTGCCCCTGACTGTCCAGCATGTCCAGTCCCAGGTGTCAACCTGCCGGCCAACTTGAAGGATGTTGACTCGAAGTGGAAGTGAGTAGAGTGATAAATCCGTATGTGATTGTTGCCTGACCACGGTTCTCATTGTAGATTCCTTTACCTTCTGATCATAGCGATGGACGCCAACTTTCGACTTAAGAACCTGATGCGATCATCCATCACTAAGGACCCTGGCCTACACACCGGGATGGCCTATTTTCCTGATGATAAACCATACCGTGAACATGTTCTCAAATACGCCACTCAGAAAGATGTAAGCGGCTCTCATTATCAACTTTTATCACAAAACTGATGTCTTCGTAGATAAGCAACTGTAGTGGTTTCAAAACGTTGGCTCATGCTGAGACCAAGTTCTCCACTGGGTTGTGTTCCACAGGCGTCGGAATGGCTGTTTGTGCCCGCCATGAGATTGTTCGTGGAGGGGGGGTTGCAGACCTACAGAAAGGAGAAAGGTTTGTCTCGTTTAAATCACTATCAGTATCGGCGGCTGACGCCTCGGACAGGTATTGCAACATGGATTATATCCTGCTCTCGGCCCTCGCTCCACTCCTCATCGCATCCGTTTTCGTATCATATGATATCGCCTGTCAGTTCAAGTTAAAATTTGATGAAAGGGTTGACAAGCTGCCGCCTGAAATCCAGCTCCCTCCCAACGTCGAGTTCGAGTGGGGGATACCCAAGTGCCACTGCCCTATGCACAAGGTGTTGTGTCAAGCACCGCACTCATTAAACTTCAAGAATGGTGTGGGACGGACCGACGGTGAAGGTATCGAGCGCAGCTGGTCGGGGCTGAACTGTGTCGTGAATAGCATGAAAGAAATGGGCCCAGGTTCTCATCACGACACCCTTGATGACCATATCGGTCATCATAACTTTCGAAAATATGTTGGACTCGGTAAGTTTACTGTCGTCCTCTCTACTTAGACTGACGAACATTTTTTTCAAGGCCGATCTTTACATTCACGTTTGGTCCTTGCCACAGCTGAGGAAAAACAGCAACAAAAGATATTTGAAGACTTTTCGGCTTCCCTCACGCCTGAGGTTGAGAAGCAATGGACCGACATCATTCTCCGGTGGGAGAATGATCCAAAGCAGAAGAATCCTTATGTATCCATTGTTACCTGTACATACCCAATTATCTTCCTTATCACCACATTTACAAATGTTCATTTTAGATGCATCTCAAGACGAAGTGAAAAAACAACTCCTCAAGGAAGAAGTGATCGCCCTGAAGGTGGGAGTACCTCAGTTACATGACACCAGTTGGACAGGGTTCATAATGCTAGGATTACTGGTGGAGGAGAATCAGTAGGTGTTCTCCCCTTGTTGTTTTACGATGACTAACAACTTCAAAATAGGCGGCGCATTTGCTGGGATGCAAGGAAGCCAAATCAGCTAACAACAAATCAGGACAACGAAATCCAGCACTGCCGACTTCTACTCCTATGGCAACTGAAGCACTTCCGGAATCTTCAAGTGATCTATATGCCCATGGTGACATTGGTGCAAGCACAGAACGAGGAGTCCTGGTGCGAGCAACAGTTGATGAATCAGTCATCCCAAATCGGCAACTCGCTCACCAATGTTGAGCACCAAGTTCTATGGCTGCCATCAACCCTGCCCGAGAATCATTGTAAGCACAGCTGCAATGCAATGCTTATCGACATCGAGATCAGGCTGCGGCGGGCACAGTGCGAAGATACGCTTGACAAAATCTGCAGCCTTCAATGTGGTCGCCTGTCCTTCATCAGCTTCCATAACCGCAACATCCGTAATCAGAACCCCAACACCAGAGCTCAAGACACAATCAGCCGCTTGGAGGACAAGTCAAAGGCTCTCGCAGTGAAGTACAGAGTGGCACGCAAAGCGCTTTTGGCCCTGCTGGGTCCGGGTGATTGGGACCCACCTTCAAGAACTCAAGGACGGTGTTCTAACAATGCCAGACAGGCACGAGATTAGCATAGAAGATCCAGATGACCTGTTCGGACCTGATGGACGTGAGTTGTCAAAAAGAAAGCGGGCGGACATCAGGAAAGGATTGGGACAAGGGAAAAAAATTGTATCGTGGATATGGACAACCCCACAGGGAGTCGGGGATGAAAGTGATGAGGTTCTACATGAAGGTTTGTCTCTTATTATTCTTTTCAACATGTAAGTAGTTAACTCCCGACGTTGCCGCAGCTGTTCGTGTTGAGTGGGCAAAAGCACGTGCAAGGCACCTGAGGTGGTGGGAAGAAGCTCACTTGTTGAGGGAGGAAATGCAACGCGTCCGAAAGACATTGGAATGGAGAGCCGCCTGGTGGGAGGATCTACGGAAAGGGTGGGAAGGGCTGGACGAGGCGATGATGGAGGGGGTGAATGTGTATGCAAGCCGTCAAGCTAATATGCAGCATATGCTGCGCACTCGATTCAGTAGGTTGTGGGACAAGCCAATGGTGCCGATCGTTAGGCAGGAAGATAGCGGAGAGGGTCCGTATGCTTCCATTGATCCCATACTCGAGGAGCTGGTGGAGGACGATGATGAGTAGGTACATTTTGGTAGCATTGGGGACCAGGAATCTCGGAGCGCTAATATTAGTAATCTTGTTTGTACATATTGGTCAATTCCTTTCCGCGTCAGTGAAAGCGTCATCCAAACCATCTGGAACCAATCCATCAATTTTGACACAAGTCAGGCTGCAGAAAACATTTGAGGAGGTGTAAATATAATCTAGCATATATTTGGAGGGTTTTGTGGTCTTTTTTTCCAAGAGAAACAGACTGTAGAAAGAAAAAACATCACCAGATGCTCAAATATGCCTTTGTTTACAGTCGTTAGCATCAAAGGCTGGAATGACAGATATGAAGGCGGAATAAATGAAAATATCAAGACTTATATACCTCCTACATCTCTATATACCTCCTACATCTCCAATATATTGTTTCCCATCAGACATACCCCTCTAAAGTCATTGCTACAGAGGTGGGTGGATTAATCCACAGAGGGAAAGGCTTGGAAAAATCCACCACCTATGGAAAACAGTCAGGTGGATTATTCCAGTTTATATGGCATAGGCCTACAGCCATGGGTGTCACCTCAGTCATCACCACTTTGTGTCTGACCCTGAGGTGAGATTCTTTTACTTACATTTACTTATCTGAGACTCATGCCACGTTCACTTTAGTTCCGTATGTTTACAGGTAGCTAAAATACACAGTTGTCACCACTTTGTGTCTGACCCTGAGTTCCGTACGTTTACATTTTCCTTGATCCCACAGCTTCTTCATGCTCTGCATCCTCCTCAGGATCGTCTTCTCCATTTCCAGTCTATATAGATGTGTTACAATGCGAAACATGACAGAGATTGATATGACAAACCTTGTTCTCAATGATGAATAGCTTTACCTCGAAGGGTGACTTACTTGTAGCTTTGTCCACCATTTGCTTATAGTCTTTCTCGTTGCTGATGTTCACCTGGTCAGTGACCCAGCGGGGGATGGTATAGGATAAGGAAAATGAATCAGGGTGGTCGAGCTGCTCTCCTTGAAACAGCCATGAGCATTCAAAGAGATCCTCGTGTTTGAGGTTCATGGTGAGAATTCTGGTCAAGAAGTTGTGGGAGGGATGTCCTCATGGAAGTAGTTGATCTTTGTGATGATGAATTGCTTAGCATTAACATGGCGCTTCTTCCCTGGTGCAAGAGGTGCAGGAAGGGGAGTAAAGAGAATGGTCATCTTGATGCCCTTGTTGTCGTTGTAAAGGCTCAGACCCCCTGCAACAGTTCAAGCCAATGTATTAGTGACTTGGCAGATCAAAGCAGTACTTACATCCATCATTCTTGTCTTCTTCATGATCAGTATCATAGGCAGACATATCAGTAGTAAGAGCAACAAGCATTGAGTGCTCAGCGCCCACAGGACACCCAGCATCACAGATCGTGACATCTCACATGTTGGAGACACCCTGACTTCAAAACTTTTTTTTTTTTCGAAATGACATCATTTCTGAAAATCACAATAAAACCAAAGCTACCGTTAAGAAACATGTGACCATCAGAAATATCAGCACTTGGAGTTAGTGTTTAAAGGTTCAGTCCATAGGACCGCAAAAAACTGGTGGACTGAACTGAACCGGACCATGGTCTGGTCTTTTTTCGGTTGCAGTTGCCCAAATTTGGGGTTGGTCCAGTTGCCGGTTGCCTCATTTCAAAAATCTTTTAAAACCATTCAAAGACCGGTTTTAATCGGTTGCAACTGGTTAAACAGTCACATGCGTTACATAGCATTGTAACCACATTTATTACCTTTAATTGGGTTTTTTGTTCATCAAAAACGGCTAAGAACTGAGAAAGATATAACCAAATCCATTTTGGTATAAATACTTGTTTGTGCAACTTGTACCAGAATGACTTTAATTCTAACTCACTCAAATTTTCATCATTTTGCTTGATTCAATTTTTGGATATTGAAACTATAAGTATGAAAATATGCTCACCATCTATCAATGTATGGTATGCATTACATAATTTACAGTTGCCACATTAAATTTTGCCCAAGTCTTGATGAGATGTAATTCGGTTTCAGTCATAGCCATGTCAGATCTTCATTAAATCTCTTACAAATTGGTATAACGACAGGTATTTACATGCTTTACCATGCTATATAACCCATCTATTTTTCAGAGTAATAATGGTTGAGATAGATGGTTTATATTGGTACAATGAATTATACACAAAAAAACCAGTCTGGATCGGTCTGAACCAGTATCATGGACTGCAAAAGACCGGCCCTAGGTGGTTCGGTTCAGTTCCCTCAATATCTGGGTCAGTCCTGGACTGGTTGCGGTCCACAGTTGCGCGTTTTTGGGGCAAAAAACCGGACTGAACTGAACCTTTAAACACTACTTGGAGTTGACTTACAGGTGCTGATTGGGCCTCAAGTACTGATGGTGTCGGAAAGGCAACTGGGGGGGGACACCTGTACAAGGCTCAGCACCTAGCAACAAAATCAGCTGACCATCTCACTCATTATTTAGCAGTAAGTGTTGTAAGTATAAGATCATCCTCTATATCAGCTTAGTATCTCGGCATTGCCAAATAATTGTCCCTTGAGGCCTCACACAATGGCAGAGTGACAATGCTTGAGGTGTGATTTCCACATGACAGATCGGACATGCCATGGCACATATGACGAACATGCCATAGGAAATGCCACTTGTGTATGGTAGTGTAGACAGCTGTATTATCTAATACAGCCTTACAGTTGGGCCAAAGGAGATGTTACAACACATCCGAGTCGTGGTTGCCAGTTATGATCAAGTTTCTTCGATCTTGAAAGTTGGCGCATACATTCTGTCCCAATATGCGAAACGATGTTTCTCTGGCGCCGTAAAAGATGCTGTGTCGGCACTGTCGAGTTTATGCGTGAGAGGCTAAGTCACGTATTGCCGCGATAATAGGTCAAGAATACTTACTTCTCGATCGCCTGTAGATGTCCGTCGTTCTTGCGTGCATCGGACACGTGTATATATGCTCTTCACTGTCCCATACGTCGCAGGGATTGGTGTGTTCTGTAGACATCCCTCCGCTGTTGACCATATACATCGTCGTCGGTACGTTGGCTCTACAAAAGTATTTCAATGTAGTTTCATTTGATGACAACGTGTTGACTTACAATCCTCATGTAGACGTTTGCTTTTGTGTTTTGAAATCTTCCGAGAGTGTCAATGTGAACCTGCCAGAGTACGTCAATGTTACAATAGTCTGCAGAGGCGTACTGACGTACCTTTATCGTCCAGCGCGTGCTGGCTCCGTTTATGCATCCACAGCCCTGAACATCGCCGGTGCCCTTTCCAGCCTGGAGACAATGTATATGCATCCCCAAAACTGGCGCATGCAAGCCAGAACACTCCATGTGAAGTGCCGAGGGCTTGGAAACAACCGCGGTCGTCAGTGTCATGCATGATGCCCAAGGCGACGTAAGTACTCAATTCTTGTCACCCTCTCAATATATCACGACGCTCTCCCAGCTTCTCCATGTGAAACGTCGTCTATCCTCTCGTTGACTGCACTCCCGCGCCCTTCCGGTGGCGTTCTCGCGTTAGATATACATGTCGACTCTTCTTGTACGCGTTTTTGTTGTCTTGTTCATCTTCTCGCGTATCGTTTCGGTTTGTTGTAGGTAGTAGAACAAAATCTAATAGCTTTTATGAGTAGAAAACCTGTGTAAAAGATAGTGTGGTACTCACTGTCGCGTGAAACTTGGTTGTTGCTGGGCACGTTTGTACGTGCATCGTTGAATGTTAACTCGGAGGCGTTTCCAGCCTCGACACGACGTATATCCATCCGCAAAACCGGCGCATGAAGCCAGAACGCTCTATGCGAAGTGCGGAATACTTGGAAACAACCACAGCCGTCAGTGTTGTGCAAGATGAACAATGCGACGTAAGTACTCACCTTCTCGACCCATACCCCAGCCTTTAAATGTGAAAGCCCGCCTCGCCGTAGCGTAACCGCTCGTTGTTCGCACTCCTGCCGCCTGCGTCTTTCTGACGGCGCTTATGCGTTAGATCGCATGTCGACTCTTCGTGTACGCGTTTTCGTCGTGTTGTTCTTCCTTTTGAGTGTTGGTAGAATTCTCTATAATAGCTTTTGTTAGTAGAAAACTTGTGTAAAAGATAATATACGAACTGTCGCGTGAAGCTGCTGATCTGGGCACGTTCGCGTGTCGATGTTGACTCGGAGCGTTGGTTGTCGTAGTAACGTTTGGAAACAGAGAGCGATTTCGTCGTTGAATGCTTTGACGACGTCGTGGATGGAAGCAAGATCAAAATCAAGCTGTTTTTGTTGTCCAAGTTAACAGTGGCCGTCTGTGCACAACGTCGCAAAATGTTGTCTAGCGATGAGTACAATTACGATGCTTAACGTCGTACACAACTTGTGCCTCCATGGTAGGGTATATGCGCTCGTCGACGGTGAATCTATCTATGTCGCCACATCACATTCGCCTTTGCCTTCTTCCTCTCCCGCTCCAAAAGGGGACGTGGTATATCTGGTGCATCCACTGCTCGAATATCCCAGGCAGGTTCCCTACAAACAACAATCATCAATCCAAACCAGCGCATATACCCATGGTAAACGACTCACAATGCAAACAATCCGTCCCAGGCTCCGTATGTGCATCAGGCCTCTGCAAAGCCTGGTCCCAAACATCCATGAAAATCCACTTTACCCTGCCATTCCTTCCTCGCGAACCTTATCAAAGCTCGCAATCTTCCACTCCCAAAGTGCATTATGCACAGCAAACAAATCCCAATCCCACCTTTTCCTAAACGTCCGCCACTGCTCGTCCGGCATGGTTGAGATGAGCCGTTCGACGAGGTTGCGTTCGCCTATTTGCGCTGCTTCCGAGGAGCGGTAGGGGACGGTGAGGAGGTTGCAGTTTGGGTGGCCTGGGGAGGTTGCGCGGTAGATTACGGAGAGTTGGGTGATTGGGGAGAGGCGGGATATGACGAGGTTCATCTGGGAGGAGGGTAAGTAAGGGGGAAAGAGAGGGAGGGAGGGAACAAACCATTTGTTTGTATGTAGCTACTACGCGAGATTGTTCTTCTTCGTCGGATTTTCCAACTGGAAGCATTGACAGTTCGTGTCTTGACCACTACATAGCCGTCAGTACCTGCAGAAGAAAGAAAGATAAATGCTTACATGCGCACCCGTTTGCCACCATCGAAGCCACAAAGACCCGTCCGATTGCGCTGACCCGACTAACCCAAGTCAGTGGTGCTAGCGAGGCACTTAGGTGTGACGCGTGTTGGCCGGAGTGGTTGGAAACTCGACAGAGTTGGTGGAGCGCCCTCGTACTGAGCATATGCGCATGCACGTATTGCTCATCGTATCTGTCGTGTATGACAGTGGCGTGAAGTCGGTTGCACGAGGGATCGTGCTTTTATGGAAAGTTTGAGGCAAGTTTGAGGTCAGCAATCCCGAACTCGGAAGTACGAGGATGTCGTCACGTCACGGCGGTAAGGGTAAACTGAGATTGAGATTCGAGCAGCCAGAGAAGTGGAGGACGGGAAGTAGTCAAAGTAGACACACATTGCGTAGTGCTGAAAGCGAGTGCCATTGGCTGGGAGAAACGGGACGTGGGATCAATCGATCACCAGGCGGATCCCTAGTGCGGTGGGGCGACCACTTTTCCAAAACTAATATTTGTAAATCATACTCAAATCAATGCTTGGTTCATTCAAGGTTCATTCGACTCGGAACATAATGAAATACAATGTTGTCCATAACAAACTCGATTCACAATCCAAACAGTCGGCACACGAGTTCAGTGGGATTTGATTTGATTCAGACTTAGGCGAAAATGAATTGAGCTGCATTAGCAGCTGGGACGAGAGGAACCCCCTAAAAGTTCGGAAATCAGTATGAATAGTAATCCATAAATAGTGGCACCGCCAATACCTCGCCGGCAACAGGTGCCCCCCAGAACAACGCTGCAGCATTGTTGGTCCGAATAGTGTTTCCGCCACCACTGAAAAGAGCGGCAGTAAAAATATCAGGCATTGGATATTATATGAGATAGTTCGTGACATACGCAACCGGGGTGATGAACCAATTAAATGCCGCTAGATTCGTGACGACATTCGCGCCGGCTACAGCCGCCCCCGGAACCCAGGCAAAGGGTCCGGGGCCGGCGCTCTGTATGGATGTGACCCCCACCAGATCGGGAATTAACCACTAAGGCGGATAAACATCAGATCTATTGGAACTTAAAGGTCCCATACTTGTTGATTCGCTTCGCCGGTTGGGGGACTGAATTGGATAGCGCCTCCAAGTATGGCAGGCGCAGTCGCAAAGAGGCCGGTATCTGGGTTCTCGATGGTGGGCATTGGTACAGGTAATGGTCGATAATGGGATAGAATGGGAGCGCTGGGGAGTTGGAGTAAAGTTGCAGCGTTTTTATACCCAAGCAACGGCTAAGATCATCAGATCTGGGGACGTCGTTCTTGGGACTACTTATCGAGGTGCCGCTGCTCCTTGGCTTCTTCCTCCAATGGGATTTAGCATTTGGATCCTTTCCAGATTCACTTGTATGGCATTTACATATTGAGAGCTTCTGATCGAAGCGTGTCAACGCTGATCCCTTCTGAGTTCTCAGATTGCACGCGTCGGCTTCTTCCTTTGAAACCGGATTTGAGTGAGTTGGTCGGATAGCCCTCGAAAAACCTCCAGATCCACCAACCCGGACAAATTTACAAATTCTGAGGGTAGACCGGGCACAACCCAGACAGAGACCGCCAAATGGCGTCCGGACAAATCTCCCATTTTCGGGATCAGACCGTTTGTGCTGTTGACCCGGGTCCTGGTTTTGAGCAGAACCGCTGAGAAGATAACGTAGTTATGCCCTTAATTAATAACAGGTTTGGGGCAAGTTTGGGGACGGTGGACTCTGGAGTCAAGGTGGAATCTTCAACAGACAACCGGTGCTGTGGCTCCACGATTTGGTGTTGACTCTTGACACAACAATTGCCTCCATAAAACACAACAGATCGAGAGGTGATACATCCTGGAGAAAGGGGTTACGGAATCATGGTCAGGATCTAATCAGAGTCGCACACCTTTGATATTTACATACACGTGAACCAGCGTTTCTTGAACTTTCAAAATTACAATGTCACCCCAAATCTTTGACATGAGGTCGCAAGAAACATCAGGGAGGTCTTTGGGTGTGTTCTTCTCTCCTGTGAATGTGAATGCCCCTGAATCTTTTAGGAAGTCGGCGATTTGGGAGTTCCTCTTTCATTGCCATGCTCGGTTGGCGAGGCACCTTACCTCTGCATGATACTGTACGTGTCCAATGATTGACAGAAGTGAATGCCCCTGTATCTTTTAGGAAGTCGGTGATTTGGGAGTTCCTACATAGATTAATCTTTTATTGCCATGCTTGGTTGGCGAGGCACCGTAGGTGACGAACGATGTGAAGAAACAGGTGTGTAATCTGTCTGAATGTTTGTTAACCATGACCGGGAACTGGGCGCGGTGGTTATGTAGATAAAGCCGAGACCGACTTCCCAGCCCCTGCCAGAGGTGCCTTCTTTTTGCAACGTTTCTCGAGGGTACGACTGGGTCGGCCTTTCAAGTGGCTTGCGTTTCATTTTTCGTCGGAGCGCCGGAAAGAAGAGCACTCATCTGAAATACATTCTCAAGCATTCTCTCTGTCATTCCCCTTGAATTAATATAATTGCAAAACAGCGTAAGAAGGGTAGCGGGACAGAACTTACCATGCCCAAGTAGCCGAAAAGCACGCTATAAACCGAGCTTTGACCAACTACGGAGTGCATCGTAACTATTCACATCAAGTCCTCACGGTCAAAGGCGTTCCCTTTTACGGTTCAATATAATCCGTGCTCGAAAGACCGCCAGCGGAATGTGTGATTACGCTGAAGGCACGTTAAATCGAGCGTAGTTCCTTGATGCGCATTGACACCCTCTGACGTAGCTGTGGAAGCAGGTGTTGGAATTGAAGCGCCTTCAGGTTATGTAAAATGCGGAGGCACGGACTGCTGACTTCATTTTTGAAACGGGACCGCCATAGACTGTAAGGATAAACACACACCGTCAGGGGAGTTAAAGGTGGCGAAGAGACGGAGCTGGGTCTCTCATGAGAGAGGCATCCCAGTCATGTCGCCTTTGTAGTCATCTTTCCTAATGCAGCTTTCCACTGAGCAAAGGCTACATCTTGACCATTATCGAATGTGGGTGATCTGACGTGAGATGAGAAATCAAAGAGCTGCGCGACAGGAACAGCACTCTTCATCAGAAATGAGTTTATTACCCTGCCAATCAAGCTTCAAGTCCGACTTGGGATGAACAGCAATGCTCATACATACGTCCCATTCATTCAGAACAATTTAATTACAGATCTACCAGACCCAAGAAAGACGAAGCGTGGAGTGTCGGAAGGTTGGGCGAGCCTGTTCAATTGGCGGAAAGTCCCAGTTGCGCATGCTGGATGTCGCAGCTACCAGAGGAGAATGGTGCAGCAAGGTTTGCCATGACGAGCATGGCAGTGATGCGGAATGAAGATGACATCAAATCACAAAAACAAGGAAAGTAATCTTGAAAATAAGAGTGTCGTGGTGGATGTTCTCAAACGCACTATGGTTTGATTCAACGCGGGTAGCGTAACCCGAACCACGCTCCTTCATATTGAGTAAGCTGGTGTTTACGTCGGAGAGGTTTGTGCAAGTGCGGCTCGGCTGATGTGTATCTCTCGCGTCGTGACCTTTGCACTCTAGAAATAGATAGGGTCAGTCGGAGACAAGGAGAAGGGGATTAACAGGTTACAGCATACACATCCCGCCTGCCAGACGCGATCAATCCCGGTTGAGATCTGTGAGCGAGTCCGAGAAAAGACAGGCACACTACGCCTCCCGCTTCCCTGGCATAACTGTCATCGTGACTACGATGGCGGCGTACGCCGTGACCACCTTTGGGATTGACGAGATCGGACCAGCGCTTGAAGTGGATGGGAAGAAGGAAAGATCTGTATAGATGTGCTTCAATGAGTATTGGGGGAGTCGTTGAGTGATTTCGCGATCGTTGGAATTCTTCTGTTCAGAAGCTCTATCAGCATACAGCAGGATTGAAAATAGAATAGGTACCTTGCTTTTAATGTGCACGTCCTCACCCCAAAACTGTCGTGCGCTGCTTGCAGTCACTACATACCACCACATTGTAACATCGCCGAGAATTGATCTGGGTGCCTGAGTTTGATTGGTAAAGGGGATACTCAACGCGTAAGTAACTTACTGAACAAGTTCTCACAACCCTTGCGGTTACTGACATCCTTGGGAACGGATTGCATGGTTGGAACATATCTCTAAAGGCTGAAAGAGGTTGTTAATTGTTTACAGCTCAGCAATCAACGAAACCTCAGTGACAACGGGGGACAGACTATTCCAACGGTCCAAGGATAAGAGCAAACCCACCTCATCATGATATCGGTGTAGAAAATCGAGGGTTTGAAAAGGAAAGCTCAACGATTGACTCGTCTTCAGCGCCGAGAGACGTTGGGAGAGCAAACTGAGAGAGATGCAGAAGAATGCGAGCTGATTTGGTCAAGTCATCATTGATTAGACCGGTGAGCGTCTGACATGAAGAAAGTCCTGCGCATGTGCGATACACATTCAAGACGAACTTGTGTACACATGATTCTGTTCTGGTCCCGTGACTTTTCAGCCTTGAAACCCCATTTTCTCTCTCGACAACCATTGCACGCGACGTTGACGCGTGTAAAAGCCCGTTCTCCAGCTCACTATTTCCCGGGACTTCAAGCATGCCACCATTACCCACCAAGAAACCCTCGTCGCAATCTCTTATATCCTCAACGCTCGCAGCCATAGCCAACCACTTTAAACCCCACAAAGCAGAGGCTCTCCAACGTATACGGCTGAACGCCGTCTGTCTCGTAGCTGCTCTTATACTGTCTTACTTGTACCGTCTCTGCCGACGGCCATTCGACGTGTGTTACGCTCGAGCCACACGTTTGAGAGGTGGTCTTCGGAGTGGGTGTATCAGTGGGCGTCTTTGCTAGGTGAGTGCTGTTGTGTGTTTCTCGAGTTTTGCTGATTGGTCGTCTGTGTGTAGAAGTGACGGCGGTTACGATTTTTACGTTCAACATCGCGGAGGCGGGGTATGCGCTGAAGTACCCTCCCCTGCCAATGCCACCCGTCAACTCTCCAGCGCGGCCGAAGTCGAATGCAAAGTCTCCAACGACGACGCCCCAACGCCCTTTCAAAGTCCTCTCCCCGAACGTACGTTTGTTTACTTTCCACATTTTTTTCACCCTCGCAGCGGCTGACTCTTTGCTTCATGCACAGTCAACTCCACAATGTCAGAAACCCTTCTCCTTTGCCCCATCATCCCCCTTCGCCTCCGCCTCTTTCTCAATGTCATCAGTGATGTACCCCGTGTCTCCCATCTCCACGCTTTCGCGGGTGGTGCATTACTCGATGCCTCCCGGGTCAAGCTCGACGAATACACAAGCATCATCAACGTCGACCGTTGGGTACCTTGCTACGCCTAGCCCGGTAGTGTCGGCGTATCGCGGTAAACATGCCACCAGGAACGTTGGTCGTGAATTCATACTGGCGTGTGTTTTACTTCGTTAATCTGACACTTGGATAGGTGCTTTGGATGGCTCGTACCTAGGTTTCATTGCGTCTACGGACTCAGATGAAGAAGAAACATAGGATTCAATTTATAATTCACGTTTGGGAATGCTTTGGAGGCCTAGAATAGGGCTGCGCACCGTGCCCGTCATAGACCGGTCGACGGACGGGTCTGACGGACAATTACCTGTTCCGTTTGGGCTTGCTGAACACCCGTTTTTATCTGTCACATGACGGCCGTAACGGCCGTCAGATGGGTCATCGACACATTCTGTGATTTTACCCACAATTAGCTGTATTATCTATTGACAATGTCTGAAGTGCTTCATTATTAAAATTTTGCATATCTCTATCACACTAAATGTCTCCAGGGGGGTTCAATTGCAGCTCAAATACAACCAGAATGGTGCTGACTCATTGCAATTGAAACCCTGCGAAAGGTCTATTCACACCTCGAGCTCACGATTTGCCGTTTGAAGGTGCAAATCTTTATTATTCGTGCTTAATATCTCTTCTTACATCTACCAGGTACTCAAAAACAAATGAAAAACTGTGAAAAAAAATATATACATTGAAAGGGTGGGCAAATGTCTGTACAACCTGTTTTTTGCCTGCCCATTCCTGTTCTGGCTTTCGAGTTGCAAATTTACGCCCATCGATTGACAGCCATCCCCATCAAATGGACAGTGCACAGCCCTAGCCTAGAATGGTGCTTGACAGCCTCAGCTGACTTGAACAAAGCTCTGCCATGAAGCTCAGCGGCGCAGGCCCTCAATTTGAACATTTTCAGCATATATTTTCATCTATGTAAGACTGCTGATATCTATTCATGATGTGTGCTTCTGTGACTGAGAGCTGTTCCAAGGCATTGTTTTTGCCAAGCCTCTATTTTCTGTGTTTCTTTTTTTACAACCTAGTAAACTGCAGTTCTGCGGTTGATGTTCTTATGGTACTTAGAGTACAACACCTCTGTTGTGTCATTGCCTTCTGTTTGAATCTAACAAGATTCAAATGCCATGGTGCATAAGTGCTCAGGCTTGGACATGTGTCTGGTGTTGGTCACGGCTTGTTCAATGACCATCTTTTTGTTCTGAACGTCCATGTCAGAACCCATCCTACCCTTCATGGTTATACCATTCAATAAAACATTGGAGTCCAGTGTCCCCACTGGCTGGCTATGAGCATTGCTCAAGTCCTTGCCATATCAGGTGGCAGTGGTGAAATTGATTTGACTATGTAAACCCATTGAATATTAACCCATAATTCTCCCGTAACTCTCTTCCCTGCTGTGTTCTTTCAACTCCTGCTCTCACTGAACCGTCTTCTGGCACCTATCTGGGACATCTTCTCACATTGATTTGGCCTCTTCTTGTGGTATTTGACACTCAAGGTGTGCCTACTCTGACCAGACCCAAGTGACTCTCAGGGCCCTTGGGATGGCCCAGACAAAGAAGGCGAAGAATGGGGATGGTGGAAAGCCATTTGGTGGTGGTTCTCAGCTGTCTGGGATGTCAACAAATTCCAGTATGTATTTCGATGTCAATTTTCAATCGTTTGCACTGACTTGTAGCGAATCACAAAGCCCACAGAGCACAAGAGGCCCTTAGGTGTCAGGCCATCTTATCAAAACTTCAATTCAACAAAAAAATAAAGGTCTGCAAGTCCCGCAGGTAAGGCTTGTGCCACACTCAGAGTAAGGCTGATTTCAGACAACAGTACCTAATTTCTGTATCTATGTGCAGTGTCATCTAGGCAATGTTGTAAGTGTTTACTGCTTAATTTTTGTACTTGAGAATAGTCAATTTTATCTACAATCATTATCCCTGCTGTGCTTTTCATTCGAGATAGGGCAACAAAGGTAAGGCCAGTTGAAAACTCTATCTTACCAAGACCCAACTTGATTTTCTCAAGTGTCAGACCTTGAGACTTGTGCACAGTCACTGCCCATGTTAGTTGCAATGGAAGCTGCATGCTTGACATCATTTTCCCCTGATGTTGAAATGTCATCTTCAAGGAGGTAATTGGAATGATGGGTATGCCATCAGGGAAGTCTGGTCAAGGTTCGGTGTGCCACAGCATTGGCCCAGAATAGGTCTTGCATGACACGAGAACAGCAAGTGGTTGCTCTGAACGACTGCAGCCTGGTGCCCATATGACATCTTCCACTTCACCAATAGTAGCATTGACAAGACCACAAGTGGCTACCACCTTTATCATAAAACTAAGGTACTTGTCTGTAGAGCTGTATGTATAAGTCCACAAGTTTTATGAAAGGCCTTTCATAGGTGTGTCCTGTGTCTTTATTTCTCATAAAGGCTATGTTCTTTTCATAAAATGTAGGCAAAGACCACAGGACCATTTCATAACATTTCTTAGGAGCTTTCATAATTATTATCATGTGCTTTCTATGAATATTTCATTGAAGCAGTTCAGACTTTCATTGTACTTTTCATAATTAAAGATGTGCACTTTCAATAAATATTTCATTGACTAGGTTGGTGTATTCATTGCCTCTTTCATATTTAATGGTGTGTGCTTTCATTGAAGATTTCATTAGGAATTTTCACACTTTCATTGCACTTTTCATAATTAAACCTGTGTGATTTCAATAAATATTTCATTGACTAGGTTGGGTGTATTCATTGCCTCTTTCGTATTTAATGGTGTGTGCTTTCATTAAAGATTTCATTAGGAATTTTCAGCACTTTCATTGCACTTTTCATAATTAAACCTGTGTGATTTCAATAAATATTTCATTGACTAGGTTTGGTGTATTCATTGCCTCTTTCATATTTAATGGTGTGTACTTTCCTTAAAGATTTCATTAGGAATTTTCAGTGCTTTCATTGCACTTTTCATAATTAAACCTGTGTTATTTCAATAAATATTTCATTGACTAGGTTTGGTGTATTCATTGCCTCTTTCATATTTAATGGTGTGCGCTTTCATTGAATATTTTATGATCAATTCTGGGTGCTTTCATTGTGCATTTCAATAAATATTTCATTGGCTAGGTTGGATGTATTCATTGCTTCTTTCATAATTAATGATGTGCGCTTTCATTGGGATTTTTCATTGAGTATCTCTCAATATTTCATTCTGATTTTCATACATACCCCCAGGGCTATCATTATGATTTTTTATTATATCCATTATAGCCATAAAATAGCTATTAGAATCAATCCAATGGGCCATTGGGAGGGTGGTCACATGATCAATTTCCAAAAATGAAGAAAACAAAAGTTGTAGCTCTTCACTGTAGCTTCCTGAATCAGTTGGAATTATGTCCTAAAGTGCCTCCATTGTGGAGATATGAGGTAAAAGGTTTTCAAAAGCACCATATTTGTTTTTTTCTACATGAAAAGAACACTAAACAACATGATTTCAACAGATTTAGAAAGCTAAGAGAAGGGGCTACAACTATTGTATCATGGGAAATTTCTCCCAAAAAGGAAGGTACATGCCCTAAAAGGGTAATTGACACTGACAGATGCTGATATACTACACAAGTCAGTTATAGACTACAAAAAAAGACTACAAAAGTCGGACACAGACTACAGAGTTTACTAATAGACTACAAAAGACTACAAAAGTTGGACATAGACCACAAAGGTCAGACAAAGACTACAAAAATTAGTAGTGTCCGCTTTTTGAGAGTACAAAAGTTAGTAGTGTCTGCTTTTTCAGACTACAATGGTTTGTAGTGTCCGCTTTTTTAATTACAAAAGTTAATAGTGTCCACTTTTTGAGACTACAATGGTTTGTAGTGTCCGCCTTTTTCATTACAAAAGTTAATAGTGTCTGCTTTTTGAGACTACAAAAGAGTGTCTGCTTTTCTGACATATAGTTTGTAATGTGGTTGACTATGTATGTATGTATAGGTCATTGGGGATATGGTTGAAGGATTGGGATGAGTTGACATTTTGCCACTTATGACTGCTTCAATGAAATATTCATAGAAAGCACATGATAATAATTATGAAAGCTCCTAAGAAATGTTATGAAATGGTCCTGTGGTCTTTGCCTACATTTTATGAAAAGAACATAGCCTTTATGAGAAATAAAGACACAGGACACACCTATGAAAGGCCTTTCATAAAACTTGTGGACTTATACATACAGCTCTACAGACAAGTACCTTAGTTTTATGATAAAGGTGGTAGCCACTTGTGGTCTTGTCAATGCTACTATTGGTGAAGTGGAAGATGTCATATGGGCACCAGGCTGCAGTCGTTCAGAGCAACCACTTGCTGTTCTCGTGTCATGCAAGACCTATTCTGGGCCAATGCTGTGGCACACCGAACCTTGACCAGACTTCCCTGATGGCATACCCATCATTCCAATTACCTCCTTGAAGATGACATTTCAACATCAGGGGAAAATGATGTCAAGCATGCAGCTTCCATTGCAACTAACATGGGCAGTGACTGTGCACAAGTCTCAAGGTCTGACACTTGAGAAAATCAAGTTGGGTCTTGGTAAGATAGAGTTTTCAACTGGCCTTACCTTTGTTGCCCTATCTCGAATGAAAAGCACAGCAGGGATAATGATTGTAGATAAAATTGACTATTCTCAAGTACAAAAATTAAGCAGTAAACACTTACAACATTGCCTAGATGACACTGCATTGAAAGTGCAATTAAAGTGCCGAAAATTCTCAATGAAATTTTGAATGAAAGCACACACCATTAAATATGAAAGAGGCAATGAATACACCCAACCTAGTCAATGAAATATTTATTGAAAGCGCACAGCTTTAATTATGAAAAGTGCAATGAAAGTGCCGAAAATTCCTAATGAAATTTTCAATGAAAGCGCACACCATTAAATATGAAAGAGGCAATGAATACACCCATCCTAGTCAATGAAATATTTATTGAAAGTGCACAGGTTTAATTATGAAAAGTGCAATGAAAGTGCCGAAAATTCCTAATGAAATTTTCAATGAAAGCACACCATTAAATATGAAAGAGGCAATGAATACACCCATCCTAGTCAATGAAATATTTATTGAAAGTGCACAGGTTTAATCATGAAAAGTGCAATGAAAGCACCTATGAAATATTCAATGAAAGCATACAGCAGTAATTATGAAAGAGTCAATGAATACACCTAACCTAGCCAATGAAATATTTATTGAAAGCAACATTCCTAATGAAATATTCAATGAAAGCACACAGCATTGATTAAGAAAGAGGCAATGGATACACCTAACCCAGTGAATGAAATTTCTATTGAAAGCACAAAGGCTTAATTATGAAAAGCACCCTCTGGCCTTGCCTATATTTTATGAAAAGAACATAGGCTTTATGAGAAAGAAAAGCACAGGACAGACACATCTATGAAAGGCCTTTCATAAAACTTGTGGACATACACACAGCTCTGCAGGCAATTGCCTTAGTTTTATGATAAAAGTGGTAGCCACCAGTCACGAGACCTTGAACTTGCCATATGTTGTGTGTTATCATGACCTTCGCATGCCGTGCCAAAACAAGGTGAGTCTCTAAACCTGTGGCTTGATCTGCACTGACTTTGGCAGCCTCTGAACCACCATCATGTTTAGCAAGGAATTGAGCACATAGTTGATTGAGGGCTTCGAGCTGGTGGAGGTTGAGATCATGCACATCTTCGTGAGTTGTGTACAGGCAGACAGCATCCTTGAAAGAGTCTTTGGTCTGTTGATCGAGATTCCTGCTGCTCCTAGTGTTGAGAAAATGCCACTCATTTAACAAGAGTCCACCAGACGAGGCATGTTGCAGAAGTTCACGGAATCATTGTTGGTCCGGAGAGTCACCTTGTTGTTGGTGAATGATACAAAGGCAGAAGCTATCTGAAAACAGATGGTACACAGTGCCACCTTCTCTACTCATGGTCCCATTGTCTGTGGCGGCTGTCAAGGGAGAGGAGTACAGGGGGGTGTCACCAACAGGAGGAAGTTGGGCAAAGTCACCAAACAATGCCATGCTCACCCCTCCAAAGGTTGATCAGCAGCCTGGGGGAAGATCTGCCATTGATGTGAGTCCGTCTGTGCCAGTAATCAAAGTCCAACCATAGATTTCTCGTCAATTATGATGAAATGAACGCCTTGCCACTGGAGTTGCAGTGTCGCCAGGTGAGAACCTACAAGCCAAGAAAATACAGTAATGGGTATGCCAATATTCAGGGCAGTGACTCCAATGGTGCAAGGACTTGAATAGGATCAGGGAGACCATTATCTTCAGCCATCTGACGAAGCTTTTGACAGACAGCTCTGATCAGATATGTTTTTCCACATCCAGCCATGCCATCAACATTGATCAAGATCTGGGAGGCGTCTTCCCCTGCCATTATCTTGGTGTACACTTTAACGTATTTGTTGTAAATGAGCCGTTGCTCATCCTCCAGCATATTCAGGTCAATATGTGCATCTGTGTCAGTCTATTGATGATGCCTGGCTTCACACTTCCTCTCATCAAGCCAGACCGACATTACTGGAACATCATTCCATTGTGCATATGATGCTTGAAGGTCCCATCCATCATCGATAGGATGTTGTCCAAGATCACTGGTATCATATGCAGATATCTGCACATTTGGATGGTTGCGCACCCACACCTGCCAGTCGGCTTCTTCCATTGCAGAGATATCCAGGTTTACAGCCTCATCCTCTTCTTCTTCTTCATCATTTCCATGACTTTCTTCCTCCCAGCTTCTCAGAGTATCACTGGTGTGGACATGTCCTGAAACTCAACATTCTGCAAATATTTCTGGCCAGGTCTTCTCCTCCCCATTTGTCAGCTTCAAGTTGTTTAGGTCCCAAAATGGGTGGTGGAGAATGACTTACATATGGCAATACTTGTCATACTGTGGGTCCTCTGGATTGGGCGAATAGCAAGGATAGATGCAAACCACCATGTGAGTCCCTTTTTGCCTTTTTCACCATTTGCCCTTGCGCCAAGTGTATTGGTCACAGACCTCTTGTAGGGACAAATTTTCCAATGCCAGAGCATGCCTTGTATACCTAGAAACATGTCAACTTCTCAACAATCATTACAATTCATGATGCCAACCTTTGTATCCATGATGCACCTGTGACTCTCTGTGCATCTTCCTCAATGTCATCGCCATCAGGAACCTGTTTACCAAGTTCACCGTGCCCACCATCGAAACTGATTGAGAGTGTGTGAAATGAAGCTGAAGACTGAATCAAGGGTATGCCTAGGAGGAGATGCGCTGTCTCCTGCGCAGAGTACGTCCTCTCACCAAGCATTTTGTTTAAGAGTTTCTGACATGCTGATTGTGCAGTTCCTCCAGCATCAATTGTACTTGTGCACCCAAGAGCAGCTCTGGAAATGCAGGAGCTTGTGATTTAGCATTGGAAGCATACTTTGCAATGTACCTGAGGGTTGAAGGTGAGTCATTCACCTATGACCATGCATTTGTCACTCACGTTATAGCAGCATCTTTGCTCATGACAGGTTTAACATCAATAGTTGCATGCCATGCAATAATCATTGGGGCATTGTAAGTGTTCATCAGCCTATCGTTGTGATGGGGCTTGAATCTAACACGTCTTTTTCTATCCAGTCTGACACCAGCATTCTCCCAACACTCCATGGGATAGTTGAAGTGGCACATGATGCGTGGCTCGGCTTGACTGGTGGGTACCACTTTCATCATATAAATAAGGTAACTGCCTATAGCTCCCTGTGTATAAGTCCACAGCCTTTATGATAGGAATCATTCCAGTTACCATGACTTTTCATTGGGCAATTTTCATTAGACGCCTGGGTGATATCATTGTGATTTCATTATTTATCTGGCCCATATCTTTGTGACTTTCATTAGATACCTGGGTGATATCATTGCAATTTTCATTATTTATCTAGCCCATGTAATTGTGATTTTGATTAGATACCTGGGTGATATCATTGCAACTTTCATTAGCCACATGGGCGATATCATTGCAATTTTTATCAGCTGCCTGGGTGATATCATTGCAATTTTCATTAGGTGCCTGGGTGATATCATTGCAGTTTTTCAAATGTAGCCCTGGGTATTTCATTGCAATTTTTCAATGGATAGCCTGTGCATTGGAGGTTGTATTGTACCTGAATCCTGAATAAATAAGAGATGTACAGATGGCCTTCCATCATTCACTGGTACAACCTCCAATGTGGTGAATGTTTTGAAGGAGCAATCACCCATCATCCATTCAAGGTTGACTATGTTTAGATCTAGAACAGTAGCTATCAATGTGAAAAGACAGCACAGGCTCAACTGATGTTAAGAACAAGGATAGACAGAACATCACAGCAAAGGTTTGCATGCGATAATGGCACAAAGTCAACTAGTGGACACTACTAACTTTTTTAGTGGATAGCCAGACAATAAACAGATATCTATAACTGTAATCAAGGGTATCAGTAAAATTTTGTAGTCTATGTCTGACTTTTGTAGTCTTTTTTTAGTCTATCAGTAAACTTTGTAAACTTTGTAGACTATGTTCAACTTTTGTAGTCTATGTCTGACTTTTGTAGCCTTTGTAGTCCATGTCTGAACTTTGTAGTCTTTGTCTGACTTTTGTAGTCTTTTTAGTCTATCAGTAAACTTTGTAGACTATGTTTGACCTTTGTAGCCTATGTCCGACTTTTTTTGGTTTTTTTAGTAGTTTTTTGTAGTCTATTGGTAAACTTTGTAGTCCTTATGTGACTTTTGTAGTCAATCTGTAATCTTTGTAGTCTCTCAGTGTTGGTTTCCCTTTTAGGGTATGAACCTTCCTTTTTGGGTCAAATTTCCCATGATACAATAGTTATGGCCCCTTCTCTTAGCTTTCTAAATGTGTTGAAGTTATATTGTTTGATGTCTTTTTCATGGAGAAAAATGCAAAAAACAAAAAAAAAGCCGGTGGTGTGAAAAGTCTTTAACCTCATATCTTCACAAGGGGAGCTCTCTGTGATGTAATTCTAACAGATTCTGAAAGATACATTGCACAGCTACAACTTTCCTTTTTTGACCATTTCAATTGGTCATGTGACCACCCTCCCAAGAAGCCCATTACATGGACCCTGACATGTATCATCATTCTTTTCTTCATTTCTCCTACTTTTTTGGTCATATCCAATTTTGGATAGATACAGTGGACCCTGAAAGCAGTACCTGACATCCTATACACCATTCCTATTTTTTTTCTATTTTTTTCTCGTTTTGTAGCTATTTTTAGAAATATCCATTGAAAGCGCCAAGCGTTGATGTGCTGGGTATCCATTGAAAAATCATAACGAAATACCCAGGGCTACATTTGAGAAATCACAATGAAATGTGCAGGCTATCCATTGAAAAATTGCAATGAGATACCCAGAGCTACATTTGAAAAATTGCAATGATATCGCCCATGTGGCTAATGAAAGTTGCAATGATATCACCCAGGTATCTAATCAAAATCACAATGATATGGGCTAGATAAATAATGAAAATTGCAATGATATCACCCATTTGGCTAATGAAAGTCACAATAAAATCACCCAGGTATCTAATGAAAATCACAATGATATGGGCCATATAAATAATGAAAATCACAATGATATCACCCAGGTACCTAATGAAAAGTCATGGTAACTGGAATGATTATCACCCATGTGGCTAATGAAAGTTGCAATGATATCACCCAGGTATCTAATGAAAGTCACAATGATATGGGCCAGATAAATAATGAAAATCGGTACTGTTCTTTATTATAGAGGATGAAGACATTGAGCATCAATTGGTTATCAGACAGTCATGACATCTGAGTTTGTGTGCACAGTGGAGGGAACATGTGTCTCTGATTCCTGGCACATATCCAATGTTGAAAGGATGGGCAGCTGATGTCAAAGATTTGGAGACTGCATTGAAGGATTTGTCACAAGAAAATGTTGATGAAGAGGGAAGTGATGATGAACAGTTGAATTGCACATATAATGTTGAAGAAGCAGACAACAACAATGTTATTGAAGAGACAGAACTCATGGCAGTGTCAGATGCATTCAGGGTAGCAGATAATGGGCTGGCCTTTGGGAGATGGGAGAGTGAGGATTTGTGGGAGGATCTGGAAGATGATGAAGATGATGACTTGGAGGTTGGAACATCTCGTAAGAGGTCAAGGCAGAAGTATTATAGGTTGGTTTGGTGGGAAAAAGTTGGAATGAAAAGCTGCCTGGTAGGAAATGATAAGTACAGTTAGTAGTTAGTTAATAGAATTGTAGAATGGTACAATTATGAATGGATATACTAGTTGACAGGAAGGTTTAAGTTAGAGATTGCAATGGTATAACATTGTAATACCATGATATAGTATCAATACCATGGTATAATATTTTGAAAATGAAGACTCTCAGGACACAAGACTTGATCCCATTTCCAATTAACAAGACTTTGGGATTGGATAGATTCACTCAGCTTTAATAAAATTGGACCAAATATTAGGGGTGTTCACGGTTCTCATTTTTGATCTCATTTTTGATTTCATTTTTCAGAAAAACAAGATGAAAAACAGAGCCAGAAATGACACCAAAAAAGACCCAAAAACATGATTTTTTGAAAAACAGGTTGTGTGTCCGTTTTTGATGTTTTTCCATTTTTCATTCCATTTTTCATCCATTTTTTGTCCTCGGTTTTCAAGTTGCCAAAGGGTGTTTCGGCGTTAGTGTTCGCAAGTTCAGTTCAGTCCGTTTTTTTGCCCCCAAAATGCGCAACCGTGGACCGCAACCGGTCTAGGGCCGACCCAGATATTGAGGGAACCGAACCGAACCACCTAGGACTGGTCTTTTGCAGTCTATGGAGCCAGTTCAGACCGACCCAGACCGGTTTTTTTGCATATAATTTATTATACCAATATAAACCATTTTTATCTCGACTATTATTACTCTGAAAAATAAAAGGGTTAAATAAAATAGTAAAGCATGTAAATACCCGTCATTCTACCAATTTTTAAGAGATTTAATGAAGATTTGACATAGCTATAACTGAAACCGAATTACATCTCCTAGAGACTTGGGTAAAATATGGATTTGGTTATATCTTTCTCAATTCTTAACCGTTTTTGATGAAACAAAAACCCAATAAAAGGTAATAAATGTGGTTACAAGGGTATGTAACGCACGTGACCATTTAACCGGTTGCAACCGATCAAAACCGGTCTTTGAACGGTTTTAATATATTTTCGAAATGAGGCAACCGGCAACTGGACTAACCCCAAATTGGGGCAACTGCAACCGAAAAAAAGACCGGACCATGGTCCAGTTCATTTTGGTCCACCGGTTTTTTGTGGTCCTATGGATTGAACCTTTAAACACTATTCGGCGTTGTCTGTTCTTTTCATTCTTTCCTGATATGGCAAACACACCACAAATCACATTACAGAACGAGCAAAAAAATTAAGATAAAGTAGTTTTAATACTATGCCCTACCAGGACCTCGGCACCCCCACACAGTTGGCAGTCACAAAACATCACATTTTTTGGCAGAAGAACGTGACAGATTGTGACTGCCAAAATAACAGAACTTTGTCAATTCATCGTTTTTCTGGATGGAGAAAAGTGGAATTAGGTTGGATTAGGCCCAGGAGGTCCTCTCTGAAAATTTGTGGCAAGAGGTTTGGCAGAAGGGTTCAAACTCAAAAATGTGCTGACTGAGAGGAGGTCCTGAGGTCCTGGTAGGGCATAGTAGTAGTGAAGACTCATGGAAGAATTGAGGTGGACAGATACTGTTGAATGAGTGGTAAGATAAGGCGGGGTCTGCAACAAGATGTGGAGTTCAATGCTGCTGGGCTGCTGGAAAATGTGCTGTTTGTTCATTTTTGATCTCATTTTTGAAAATTTCAAGGGGGGTGGGTTCACAGTTCACATTTTTCAGTTTGTTTTTCAGTTTGTTTTTGATGTTCTATTTCTAGAAAAATGAATGAAGAGTGAATCAAAAATGGATAAAAAATGATAACCATAAGCACCCCTATTATGACAAAAGGACAAACATTCAGGACAACAATACTTCATTCCATGATTGCAGTTTTAAAGAAAATTGAGATTGAATGATAGTGTTGTTGGCAAGACTATATGTGTATGCTATGTAAGTGGGCAGGACTGTCTGATTGGCCCTACTGGGCAAAAAAATATACTTACTCTATTATTGAAAGCATTCATATTAATGGCTTTTCAGGAATGGAAAACCCGAGGTCTTTACCTTCCCCAGGTTATTCTGTATGGAATCCATGGAATCAATGTTGGCTGAGGACCCAGCCAGTTTCTTATTCCATAGACCTCATGGATTCCATATGGAATGACCATGGAATGGTCATGGAATGATTAATTCCATATGGACTCCAACACCATTCCATATGGATTCCATGGAAGACCAATATACCATTAGAATACATATAAACACAGTATTTATAGTGTCCTTACTATATTTAAGTAAAAAAGAATTTTTGCACCTAAGAGAATTGAACCCTCAACATCATCAATTATAGCAACGCTAAAGCCAACTGAGCCATGCAGGCTTTATTATATGTTAAACTAAAGGTAGCTATATACTGCACCAAGGCATGGAGGTCTTATCAGTGCCCCCCTAATTCCTGCAGGAATCCAGTCATTCCAGCGGATTCCGGTGGATTCCAGAGGAATGAAATTTGGCAGGGAGGCCTGCCATTTTTATCATTCCAGTGCCTTACCATTCCGGCGGAATTTGGGCATTCCGGAATTGACACTGGAATGATCTGTGGAATGCACAGGAATGGAATGCAATGGAATCCGGTCCTTTGTTTGTTTGTTTTACTTCTGTTACCAAACAAAGGCAACATTACCAAACAAATTCAATACCATCCATTCCTTTCCACCACCACCAACCATCCTCTTCCCCACCCCCACGACAGCCACGATAAACCGACAATGCCACACCACCCATGACGACGACAACGACCCCACATGACCCCACAACGGCGATGACGACCCAGCAAAGAATGGCAATGACCACCGCCAGTGACGTGGCAGCCAAACGGATGATGACAACAACACCACCACTATCCACGAGCACCCACCACCATCCAGACAGCACCCACCACCATCCACGAGTGCCCACCATGACGACCACGCAAATGCTGCAACGTCACATCACAAAATGATGACAACACGACAATGACAACACGATGAGGACAACACAACAACAACAGTGCGATGATGACCATGCGATGACACAGGATGACAACGACAATGGACAACGAGGCCCAGCACTACCCCCTTCCCCTTTATTAGTCCCCACCACTCTCTCCCCCTCCATCCCATCCCCAGGGCCTGCCCCACACCATTGCCTGTCCCTCCTCCCTTCCTTCCTCCCCCTTTCCTATGCTGATCACATAGATCACACCCCCACACCACTCCCTGTCCCTCCCTTCCTCCCCCCTTCCTCCCTCCCTCCCTCCCTCCCTCCCTTCCTCCCTCCCTCCCTCCCTTCCTCCCTCCCTCCCTCCCTTCCTCCCTCCCTCCCTCCCTTCCTCCCTCCCTCCCTCCCTTCCTCCCTCCCTCCCTCCCTTCCTCCCTCCCTCCCTCCCTTCCTCCCTCCCTCCCTCTCTTCCTGCCCCTTTATTTAACTTAGAAAATAGTAAATTAGATGTAGATTTGAGTTTTAATATATAAATGTTATAAGAAAGTGTTCATACCCTTTAAGTTAGTGTGAAGAAGTGCATATTAGTGTAAATGTATGTAGCAAAAAGGAAAGGTGTTGTATTAGTTGTATTCTGGTCCCATTCCTGTGGATTCCTGCGGATTCCAGTGCCATTCCTCCGGATTCCTGCAGATTCCTGTGGATTCCTGTGGATTCCTGCAGGAATGGGTGGGGCACTGTAAAGTACTGCAAGGCATGTGGCATCATATGTGTGACATGCTGTGGCTTGAAATGTCACCATGTCGTTCCTTCCTTCCACACCACCACCATCTGATGACCATCCACCATCCCTCACCACCACGACAAACCATGACTGCCCACATCAACGACGACGACACACCAACAATGCCGACAACACACAATGACGGACAGGATGGTGCCACAACACAATGCAACCACGACCACCCACCAACGTCAACGACCGCCCACAAAGATGACCACCCACGGATGTGAACGACCACCCATAAAACGAAGACGAACACCTACGAGATGACTGCCCAGCGCCCCAAAAATGACAACATGCCCACGAACGACAACGCCCACCACCCAATCACAACAATGACAAACGGATGATGAGCACCCATGGACCCCCTTTGACAAATGGAGACGACCACCCACGAAAGTTAACGGACATGGGCAACAACAAGCCCAGGTGAGTCCCCCCTCTTCCACCCTACTTCCTCCCCCTCCATCCCCATCCCCCCATTGCTCCCCCTGCTCCCAGTCCTCCCCTCCCCTTGCTCTCCTTCCATTTGCTCCCCTCCCTTTGCTCCCCATCCCTCCAGTGTCCCCCTCACATCAATACTTCCCACCACTTTCTCCCTCCTCACTCTCCACCACACCCACTCACTCCCCCTTCCCTCTCCCTCTCCCTTCAATATGTAATGTAGTAAAATAAATATATATGTAGTCCTAGTCAATATATTTCAATTGTTCTTGAGCAGTTATCAGTATGAATAAGTGCAGCACTGTGATTCCTGACTTGGCAATATTTCAAACAGCCCACTTTCTACATAAGTTAGAACTTACCATGGATTCCACCCTGGAAATTGATGGAATCCATCTAAAAAAGTATGGATTCCATCTGGAAAAGGGATGGATTCCATCAACCATTCCATGGAATCCATCTGGGGGAAGTATGGATTCCATCAACCATTCCATGGATTCCATCTGGGGGAAGTATGGATTCCATCTAGTCCATATGGAATAACCTGGGGAGGGTAAAGTATTTTAGGGTTAGGTTTAGCAAAACCTGGTAAGTGGTGTTTTTTCGCCCTTGGTACAGTCCAAGCATGTATTCTTGCATGACAATGAATCGGAATCAGGATCGCATGGAATGGTGTCAGGTTTTCTGATATGCGTTGAGAGAGTACCTAAAGGATCTGCCGTATTCGTGTGAAACAGTCCTGGATTCCCTACACTCCCATACATCGCATCCCTTCCATTTTCATGGCCAGTTTGGATCGGTTCGAGAGCACATATTCAAGTGATGGAAAGCTGATCACCCACAAGAAAATGTACATGCTCTGCAGCTCCATGGCAAGTGCTATTGAGGGTTTCGTGGGTTTAGAGCATGCATATGGTAGGGGATGGGCGTGATTTGGTACTTACAGTGGGGAGCTCTTAGCAGATCTGTCCCATCCCATTTAATTCCATGCCAGTGAAGCAGAAGCAAAAGAGGGTAGCGAAGCGGCCAAGTCTGGAAGTTTCAGATGACAAAAGTCAGATGAAGCAAGCATATGTCATGCTTGCTCCCACCCATGACATCACACCCACGTTTACTGCTACAATTACAACAACAACACGACACGCAACTCAATCACTACTCGCCACTTTCCTCGGAGTCTCCGCCACTGTCAGAGGATTCACTCTCTTCTTCATCTATAACTTCAGCCACTACCTCATCCATATCCAACACGACATCTTCTTCGCTCAACCTTACAAGAGTAGCTTCTGGAATTCCATCAGTGAGTTCATCAAGAATTCTTTCAATCTCGTTTGGTTCCTCAGAACCTTCCTCAGGCTCTCTTTCAATGCTCTCATCCACCAACATGCCTTTGCCGACATCTCCAACTGGCGTCGCTGCTGGATTTTCAAGGGGTGGACTCGGGTTAGTGGGGGGATTGGGATTTCCAGGCGCTGGTGGCTCGGATGGTGGCTGGGATCGCAACTTTTGCTCAGTGATAGACATCATGCTGTGCCTGTGTTGTAGACACTGGACGGCTTTGTTGTATTTGGTAAGTGGTGTTTTTTTGCCTTCAGTAAGGCTGTGTAACCCCGCTAATATGACATCTTTAACGGCGCCACCTGTATCCTCGCCCAAAACTCTTCCTTTTTGAAGGCAATAAACATCATTTTCATTGAGGCTGTCCATCAACATCGCAATGTCATTTGTCAGGTCAGGAGGTGCATGTCAAGTTCCTTGATCAGCACCAAGAGTATCATTGAAATTTTGGGCAGTGTTCCTCAAGACCTCAATTGTGGGTGCAAGTGTATCCAGCCAATCCCATGATGCATTCGAGCCATGGGCCTTGTATGCTGTCTGGATTCTCCATGTAAGTTCATTCAATAGCTCTATTATGAGACTTACCTTGATCCAGAAATTTAGATGCTCCTGTATGAGGTCTATTTCGACGAAACTATCAGTGTGGCCAGTAGTATTCAGCAACCAGTTTCTCAAGACGATATCGCATATCCCTTTAGGCCAGATTTTCGAGAGATGGTGGATCAAATGGAGCATCTCATATGCATACTTTGTTTGTCCGTTTCGTCAGTAGCTCAAGGCCCATGTCTTCAGAACGAGCACAACCCTTCCCGAATCACCAGCTTTCACAGCATCAGTAAATTCCTGGGAAATTAGGGCATCGCACATTAAGAGAATCACATTTTCGAACACCATATCTCCTTCCCCTGCTCGGCTTCGCAATTCTTGTACCCGTGATGAGTTTGTGAACTGCTTGAAAATCATTGTTGCGTGTGTTGTCAATTTGTCCCAACTGCTAAATTTGACCAGATATTCTTCCAGGCTATTGCATCTTGACACAAGAAGTAAGCAGTGGAGGACACATGCATAGAGCGATATGAAAAGAAGGTCACAGCATTTGCAGAAAGGAGGCAAAGATGTAAGAGTTATCGGTAGTTGGTCTAGACGTGTGTTCTCATACCACAATGAATTGGGATTGCGTGAACCGGTGTCAGGTCTTCCAAAATGCATCAAGAGGGTACCTAGAGCATCTGCGATCTTGGCATGAAAGAGTCCTGGGATCCATGCACCCCAGAACATTGCATTTCATCCACTTTCATGGCCAGCTCAGATCAGCTCGAAAGCACATAGTCGAGCAATGGACAGCTGATCACCAGCAAGAAATTGAATATGCTCTGCAGCTTCTGGAACCTGATCAAGATGAAGCTCTTTATTTATTGCCTCAATAACCTCTGCATTTCCTGTAATTGAAGATTCATCAATATTCCAAGTAGGCAATGGGTGTAATTGTGATTTATGAATCTTGATCTTGTCAGCCGTCTCTGGCTGTGCCTTGTCAAGATCAACCTGGAAGCACTGAAATCCCTGGCCACCATGCTTCACAAGAATGTGGAGAATAGTGAATATTAAATGAGACTTGAAGGCCTTCTGTTCATCTTTTGTGTGAACAATATCTGCAATAGATAATGCCAGGGCATTGAGAAATGAGGATTGAAGGTCCTTGACATTTAAGTCCTCTGTCTTTGCATCAAATAGTGGCACAAGTGTAGCACAAGTACCATTCTCTTGTGTGTCTACCTCTCTGGTAAATTGGATGTTCAGAATAAGAAAGGAATTTCTGCTCACCATGGTGTCCAATAATTTCCTCGTGGTTGCGGAAATTAATATTGATGTTGTTGTAAACAGTTGCGAAAAGACCTGTTGCTGCAATCTCTCAAGTATCCTGTCGCATTGATTCTGACAACTGATAGAGAGTACCAGTTGGAATCTTGGGACCTTCTGAATCCACCCCTTTCTCCTTTCCTTTCACCTTCATCTTCTGCTTTCTCCCTTTGACCATTTGTACACGCCTCACATTTTTTGATATAAGGTTGCCATAGCTCTCAGATAGTCCAAGAGTAGACAACACTGAGATTGCCTGTCGTTGGGCACCAGAAGCATACATGTACATTCCAATCATCCTTTTTTGCCAGGGTGTTGGCATGACTATACTGCCCAAGACAGGCCAGTGCAGCAGAGATGACAACCTGGGAGAGAGTAAACTCAAATAGTCCAATATTATTGAAAAGAATACATCTTTGTTCTGTCCTTTCGCTTTTTGGTGTGCATTTCTGCTTTTCGGGCAGTCGCCGATGACTGGAGAACAGATAAAGTGAAAGGCGCATCCTGCAAAAGCATAGAATGGATAGCTGGGAAGCTGAATGTTGAGGCGAATGTACTGTCAATAGCAGCCACCAGTACTTTACACTCCCACTGCTTGTCCAATGGACTCTGACAGACTTTCATCAGACCCTGCCATTTCTGATGGACCCAGCGGACAGTCTGTCGGAAGACCATCGGAGTCCGTTGGACATGACTGGATTCCACTGCTAGTCCAGGCAAAGTCCAGTGAAAGTCCACTCAAACTACTTAGAAGCAGGAAATGGTTGGACTGGCCAGAATTCTGTGTCCATTGGACTTCTGCTGGACTTCTGTCGGATTTCCAATGGACAGAGGCAGAAACCATCATAATTGCTAAGTTCTCAGTCCACTGGATTTCCGCTGGACTTCTGATGGACTTCTGATGGACTTCTGATGGACTTCTGATGGACTTCTGATGGATTTCTAAGCAAAAAAGGTACAAGAGAATGCTAAGTGTTCAGTCTATACTTCTTATAAATAAATCTGAAAAAAGGCTCAGTATGACTTGCCAGATACATTCAGTGGACATTTAATAAATCGATAGTGGGATTTGAAACTTGTCAAGTAGAGTTATATACATCTTTTGCTTACTCAGCTTCATCATTGTCAGTATCACCACCTTCCTCTTCCTGCATCCCTTTAGCTGCTTTTTTGGCTTGGTGGGCAATAACCTTTCTAGTGTGATAAGAAAGCATTGTGTGAATAAACCAGTTATAGTTTTGGGGTATCATTCTCTTGAGGATTGATTCAAAACCTCCCAGCCATGCATTGAGTTGTTCACAGGCCTATTATTAGTTCATTAGTTTATCAATATTACAAAGATTCAAATTAGGTTTACCTGAGTATTAAATGCTCATTTGTCATAGGTTGATCCATCAGAAGCTATGGCTTTTATAACTAAATTTGGAGCAGACCCATCTGTGGGAGCTGGATTACACCATGTTCGACAAAGAACATCTTCTTTCCAATGTTTCCCATAGTGGAAAGTATCAACTATCAATCGTGTTGTTTCTGACCACTCATCCCAGTGACCTTGTGCAGCCATATGTTTAAGCACTTTACAAGCTTTATCGATGCAGATATAATCTGGACGCAATTCCTTTGTAGGATAAACCTTCTTCATAAAGGCCAGAATGTTTGACTCTGACTCTGATTTGGCAAATTTTGCCCATGCTTCAACAACACCACATGGATAACAAATTGTTTCAACACAATAAAATGTTGCAGGACCAAAAAAGTGCTTTAATTTGGGTTCTGGAGCTGGCTGATCATGTGGCTGAACTTCATGCTCAGATCTAGGATTCCACTCTAGATTTTCT